GGGGGGGGGAGCGGGGACCCTGACGGGGCCCGACCTGCTCGGTTCTGGAGGCGAGGGGCTGGGAGCCACAGGGCATCTGCGAGGGTCGCGTGCTGGGGATGGTCACGTACAGCAGGTGGATGGAGGCCGGATTACGCCGTGACAGCGGCCCGGGACTGTCCCTACGGGAGGAAGGGTTTACAAACGCGCAAAGGGAGAACACTAGAGCTCTGTGGTGGTGGATTAGAACTCAGTGCGCCAGTGTGGACTCCCGGCCTCACATACGTCCAGATAGTTCTGGAAACTCAGATGGAGAGGTAAATTGGCGAGTTATACCCGCATCCACATGCTCCCCGGCACACCCCAAACCCCTGCTTAGTTTCCCAAGAGTCTCCAATCATCACGAACCGGGTGCATCGCAAAACAGAAATTCGTCCTCGGCTCTGGAGGCGGCCGCAGGGTGTGCCCCCAGCAGACTCTGGGGAGGGTCCCGCCTCACCTCTTCCTGGCGGAGAGCCATCCTCGGCTTGCAGACACATCACACCACTCTGTTCTCACAGAGGGGTCTCTCCGTCCCCCTGTGTCTTCAGCTGGACACCCGTCATTGGCTTCAGAGCCCGCCCTAACCCCCTGTGACTTCACCTTAACTGATTACATCCACGAAGATCCTGTTTTCAAATAAGGTCACATCCAGAGGCACTGGGATTTAGGAGGCAAACATATCTTTGAGAGGGGATACGGTTCAACCCATAAAAAAAAAAAAAAAAAGCCCATTAACAGCGAACCCACCTAGCACCCGACCCTGACCTTTTAAATGCCCCTGTGTACTTAGGAGGAAGGGCTCCCTGGGGAAGTGGCTGGTTCCAGGTCTGGGTCAGGGCAAGTGCAAGGTAAATCTGGACACTGTCCGGAGGTGCCGTCAGATCCCACAGGCTGAGGGCTCAGCCCCTCGCAAGTGCCCCCCCCCCCACTTCAGAACCAATCACAAGTGAGTGGGTGGTCAGGTTACCCACAGCTGCTGGCTGATTTGGCTGCAATTAGGGGGGTCCTCATGACCCCCTTCCGAGGTCCGATTGATTTGCTAGAGTCCAGAGCCGCCCGCAGAACTCAGAGAAATGCACCATTTTATGAAAGGGTGTCCTAAAGGATGTAGATACTGACCGGTGTCCCCATGGAGCTGGGGAGTGTCACGCAGTAGGTGGATATGATCACCCATCCGGAAGCTCTCCAACCAGCGTTTTTAGAGAGGCTCCATCAGCAGGCACATAGACCATGGGCAGGGAAGGGGACGGGGCGAAACCTCCAAGCTTCCAGTCATTGGTTGGTCTTCCCGGTGACCAGCCCTGACCCAGAGTCACCTCAGTAGAACCAAGGATACTCCCACCACCCAGGAAGCAAGGGTTTCAAGAGCCTTGTGTCAGGAACTGGGGAGCAGAGACCAACATATATTCTTCTCTTACTTCACAATAGTGTTCTTTGGGATTTTTTTTCTTTCCCTGTATCAGAAGTCTCAAAAAAAAAGTTTTTTTAAAAGGAGGTGTCCTGGGTTCCCCCTTGTCTTCTGAGATGCTCTCACTAAGAGAATTGTCATTCGGTACCGCTTTTTGTCGTTTGAGTTCTGTATTTACCACGTGCATGGATTTTCTTTCAAAATTCGAATATAAGAATAATAAATAATATCTAATAGTCAAGAACTGGTGAGCAAAACATCTCATTGTGTCGGTGCCGAAATGATTTAAGGGTGGCTCTGAGCTCTAAAGCCAGTATTGCTAACCACACGGTTTAACCACACAGTGTGGACTCAGCGCTGGTGGCTGTGGCCGGGCCACATCAGTGCCAGAAGCCGGCACTGCCGATGTTGATAATAATTTATCACCCCTGCCTTTTGCAGCCTTTCTGTTCTGGCCTCCGTCTGATCGGAGGAGCCCACCTACTGTATGGAGGGCTCTCAGATGCTTTCCTCAAAGCCTACAGACTTTAAATGTGTTATTTATTTTGAGAGAATCCCAAGCAGGCCCCGCGCATAACTCGAGGCTCGATCCCACTGACTCAACCATGAGATCATGACCTGAGCCAAAATCAAGGGTTGAACGCTCAACCTGAGCCACCAAGGCACTCCTCAAAGTCTATAGACTTAAAAACATTTTTTAAAAAACTTTTTAATGTTTTATTTATTTCTGAGAGAGAGACAGAGACAGAGACAGCATGAGCAGGGGAGGGTCAGAGAGAGAGGGAGACACAGAATCTGAAATGGGCTCCAGGCTCTGAGCTGTCAGCACAGAGCCTGATACGGGGCTCGAACCCACGAGCCATGAGATCATGACCTGAGCCGAAGTCGGACGCTTAACTGACTGAGCCACCCAGGTGCCCCTGAAAAACATTTTTTTAACGTTTATTCGTTTTTTAAATTAAAAATTTTTTAACATTTATTTATTTTTGAGAGATAGAGAGACAGAACATGAGCAGAGGAGGGCAGAGAGAGACACACAGAATCCGAAGCAGGGTCCAGGCTCCGAGCTGTCAGCACAGAGCCCGACACGGGGCTTAAACTCACGACCTGCTGCGAAGTCAAATGCTTAAGCGACTGAGCCACCCAGGCCCCCGATCCTAGGTTATTTCTTTAGGGTGATTTCCCAGAAGTAGAGTTAAAGTAGGGTATACTTTTTCACCTAGCTTTTTATCCAGATGCAACTTGCATAAAGTGTGTAAATC